TTATGGAAGGCAATTCATCCACGTTGCAGCAAATGCCAGAGAATTTATCTCTGAGTGTTTCGATAGATAGTTGCGTAAGTGGGTACAATTTTCACTCAAAGAAGAAGCAAACAAACAAGAGATTTTGCAATCAGCAAGTTTCTCTAGCTTTAAAAGATCATCGTCACGAAGGACGTATGCTTCATCACCTCGATCTACCTGTCCAGCTAGGTACCCACACCCTAGTTGGACTTGTGAAAATTCTGGCGCGAGCCTGAGGGTCCTGCATCCCCCTTCTTGTTCGCCTGCGGCGACTTGCCAGAATCCTCAGCCCCTTTCAGCGTACGGCACTGCCCCTTCGTATGGCCAAACTTCTTGCAGTAGGTGCAGAAAGGAGTTCCGTTACTCTGCTGGCCACCCTTGTGAAAGAGCTTCTTAGGCTGTGGGCCATTCTGCTGGCTCTGCGGCTGGAAAGGTCTCTTCTTCCAAGGGCCCTTGCCATTAGAAGGCTGCGCCACATTGTTCTGGCCACTACTGCCTTCATCCCCGTTCTGCAGGCGACCCTTGGCGGCATTAAGGCAAGTGCGGACGCTCACGTCAAGCTCAATGACAGCTGTTTTGAGCTCCTTGTACGTAGCATACTGGTTCATGCCCAGCACCAGCCTCTCGCGAAGCCACTGCGGTAAGCCTTCGTAGAACGACGACATTTCCTCGTTCTCAGTAAGAGCGACGGTCAGGAGTAGCATAGTCCGTTCGAACTCATTGGCGTACTCCTGAACAGTGCGATTACCGCATTGCATGCTCATGATGCGGCTGCACACTTCCAGGTCAGTCTTTTGCACATGGAAAGCATCCTTCATCGCGCTGCAGAAATCGGACCATCCGAATGTGGCCGACGTTGCCTTAGCAAGCTTCATAGTGCTGTAGACTGTGTTACGCGCAGTCTCATCGAGAGCACCAGTAGCAGCAATAACGCGTGCGTCAGGGCGCACGTTGTGGATGGAAAGCATTTCCTCCACATGATGAAGCCAAGATTCCAAGTTCGTCTTGCCATGAATGAAAATCGGCAAGGCAGTGGGGAGCGATCCAAATGCGGATGCGTCAGGCGACATCGGCTGCTCTGTTGGAGCTCCGGCAGAAGTAGAAGACCCATTGTTAGGAGGGGGGCGATATATCGGTCCCCTCCTGAGCTCCCTATACTGCGCTTCCAGCGTCGTGCAGGTCGATTCAAGACTGATGCACGTAGCATTTAGCTGCTACAGGGTGTCTTCAAGGCTCTTGATCTGATTGTTCTTGAGGCCAAGATACCTCTTAAACTGACGAGCCTCGGCAGTGACTTTGGTGAGCTGAGCTTGGATCGTTTCAATTGAAACTTTCTGCTCAGCAACTTGAGCCTCAAGCTCATTGACCCTGCGTTTCTGCTGCAGCAAGGAAGATGCTTGCTCGGCCACCGTGGTTTGAAGTTTTTCAAACTCCTCCGGAAAGTTATCATCCGTGCCGAGATCATCAAGCCCTTCCTGCTCTCCATTCTCCTCCTGGTTTCCCAGTGCTTCTTCCTCTTCTACAGGAAGGTCCCCTATGACGTCATCAGCATTAAGGTCAAGGTCAGGAAAATCTTCCACTTCATCAACTGAGGTCATAGGGACATCCTCTTTCCTTGCTTCCTCATGAGGAGTAGCCATAGAGGAGTTGTTAAGATGGAGCTTAAGAAGAGTCTTTCTTCTTTGTTAAGAAATATGATCTTAATAAGGGTCCTCTATCACTCAAAGTGATAGGCAAGAGATTCTGAAAAAAATCAGAAATCTTTTAGATTGATCAATATTCTCACCAAGAGAAGATTACGGAATAAGAGTTGTTAAATAGATCTTCTACTCCAAAAAGGAAATAGAGAGAGTTCCAAAAAATTGCTCAAAGAGCAAATTAAGAGGAATCTCTTTAACAAATCTCTTGGATCTGTAACACTCTGCTATTATGAAAATAGCAATGAGTCTTCCACCAAGAAGGTGGGCAGAGAATAAATTCTCTTGAAGCTCAAGGAGCTTTTTAATCTTGGAAATCCTTGAAGAAGATTTTTTGATCTTGGGAGTTTCTCAACTCTTCTTAAAAAAAAGCTTGAGACTATTCTAGATCTAAGATCTAGAAACTCCTAAAAAAATATATAGTTAGTTACACAGGGCCAAGGATAACCAAAGCTCTGATACCAAATGCAATACGGGCTTATAGAGAAATGCCCTTAAAATCACAATAAAGACCCTGGATTATAGCTAATGCCCACAAAAGGGTCTATAGTAGGCTTATAAAACGCCAACAACAAGTGCATACAAGATAAACTAGACCCTAAGCTAGCCTTGGGCCTTGAAGGCTTGGTAGTTGAAGCTCTGAGAGTGATGGAGTAGTTTCACCAAAAGAGTAGTTGAAGGCTAGAGCACTTGTGAGGGAGAAACCTTGTACTTGGAGAGAAAATCCCATTTCCAAAATTGATCAATTGGAGCTTGTAACAGCAACGTTGAAATGTTATTGGTTTGAATTTCCACCAATGTGAAGGTTGGGTTGGTTCCCAACCTTGTTTGTCTTTTAGTGGGTGGTGATTCACAATTGTGGACCAATCAATAATCATCCCTTCCAACCCTTTCTTCCCGTAAGTCGCTACCTTGCGTAGGTAGCGCTTTAGAGAGCCTTGGCTAGGATAGTCTCTAGGGTAGGTAGGGGATGCGTTACAATACCACAGTCGCTAGCAGGAGGGTTGAGCGCGGTGCGGTATCAGCAGAAAGCGGGGCGGGCGGTAGCCACGGACCTAGGTCCGTGCAGCAGGGGGAAGTGGAGAAGCGTGGAGCAAGGGCGGGGAGAGGTCAGGATGCGAAAAGTCGGGAATTGAGGGGGACGCGAAATTTACCGGAGGAATCGTAGCAATCGCGGAATGAGCGGGGCTATGGAAGGAGAGACGCGCAAGGGGAAGCGCAAGGGGGTCTAAAGCGGAAGCCTTGCGTGTGCGCGTGGGTGGGGTGGAGATGGGGGGAAGACGAGGTAAACGTGAAGGCGGAAGCGGTGTGGGCGCTGGGGGAAAGGAAACGCTGGCGCAGAAGAGGCGGAGGTTTGGGCGCGCTATGGAGCGGATGAAGAGCGACACGGCGCGCAGGCGGAAAATGGCGGAAAAAAGGGTTCCGCTGTCCCCCCTTGGCACGCCAGGCAACGGGATTCTGGTCCCGCGCCTGGTGCGCTTGGCGCACCGCACTTTCGCGCTCTTACTTTCCCTGCAAGCGAATAACCCAAGGTTGCTAGAGGCCGTGCGGCGCATGCGTTCAGGTATGGGCGCATGGAGCATGCGGGTAGAGCCATTGCTGCTGCTGTTGGCGTCCCGTTGTCACAGAGGCCGTTCCAATGCTGCTGCACGCCGTGCCCGTACATGCATGCATGCATGTAGGGCGGCGTGCCCAGAGGTCCGCTATTGTTGCTGGTTCCTACTCTCTGCTCTCCGCTCTCCTCTGGTCTCCGCTCTTTGCTCTATGCTCTCTGCTCTCCGCTTTCTGCTCTCCCCTCTCCCCTCTCTGCTCTCTTCTCTCTGCTCTCTGCTCGCCGTTCTCCTCTCTCTGATTTTCGCTCAATGCTCTCTGCTCTCTCCTCTCACTCTGCGCTCTGCTCCTTGCTCTCTGCTCTCACTCTGTGCTCTGCTCTTTGCTCCCCCATCTCCAGCCTCCCCCGTCTCCACCATCACCCCAAGCGCGCTACTCTGTGCTCGGGGGCACTCCATCGCCCGCCCTCCCAACACCATCTGCAACCACTCTACCCATCCCATTCCTTCCAAAACCCCCCTCCTTTCCCACACCTGAGCATTCTTGCCTCGTCTCCCGTTTCCCCCTCTCTCCCATCCCCCGAGGCTTGTCTAGATATCTCTATTGCTTGCCACCCCTGCGCAATCCATACCTGCAAGGCCTCCACAGACCGGTCTTTGAGAATTCTCAAAAAGCACCTGCAAGGCCTTCACTAACCGGTCTAACCGCTTTCTGCGGGGACCAATATGGTGTTGCCTCTCCCTCCATCATCCCCAGCCTCTCTCAGATCCCATACCCTCAACTTACCCCTCCCCCCACCCCCCCCCCCACCCCCCCATCCCCCCAAGCTATGGTCACAGGTCTCCACTGCTCTCCACGACGCACACGCCATCTACGGCTGTATGGCATTTAGAAACCACTCTCACCATCCCACTACCACCACGCCCCCCACTCACCTTCTTTCCTTTGTTCTCTCTCTTGGTTCTCCCCTCCTCCATCCCAAGATGTGCCCACAGGCTTCCATCGCCCGCCACCGCACGCCATCCACAACTGCTACAGTCCAAAGCTGCACAACCGCTCACGTAGTCTGGGCAGCCATGAATGCGCTCCTGCCACGCCCTCTGACATCTTCCCAGCCATCGGAACTTTTCACCTGCCCGGTCGTCTACAGCCCCGCGTGCCGAACGAGGCGAGACTCAATGTGGCGAGGATCCACGCTTAGGTTATTCTTCAGGTTCAACCATTTTCAGATTCACTTTGGTTTTTGGCCTTCCATCAAGTTCAGGTGGATTTTCAGGTGATCTGTAAGTCATCCCACCCCTCTCCGGCTCCTTGCAGGCTGGGCAGGGGTGGGTCTCTCACTGGCAGGGCCCTCCGTCTTCGCACATTTCCACACGACCATCTCTTCCTTCCTACACCCTTCCCCACGCACTGGTGGGGCACCTTGCATGAACAAGTGCAGCTCTTTGCCCTCAGTTCGTGTGCTGATGTCATTCATATTAGCACAAGGTTAGAAGTTCATGTGCGAATCATCCACCACCATCCACCACCATCATCCACCACCATCCACCACCACCATCCACCACCATCATCCACCACCATCCACCACCACCATCCACCACCATCATCCACCACCATCCACCACCATCCACCACCACCATCCACCACCATCATCCACCACCATCATCCACCACCATCCACCACCATCCACCACTCGACAAGTTTGCGTGTTGTGCTGCACACCATCAATGCATGACCTGGGGCCTGGTAGCCGGGTCGGCCCGACCCATCCCCCGTCCTCCTCACCATCCACCCGCTCTGCCCCACTCTCTTTTCCACTTCCCCTCCCCTCAAGCAGGCGTGGACCTGCCGAGCCTTCGCACCGTGCGGCGAACCGAACCTGTGCACACCACCAGGCTCGGCACCGGCTGGGCCTGGGTAGAGGCTTGGAGAGCGAATCGGCATCGGGAGTGTATAGCACGGGAACTTATAAGAAGGACGAGAGGGATGTGGTGAAGTCGAGTATGGAGATAGCTGAGATTTAAGCAGTGGGGACGACTTCTGAGGCGCCTCAAATGTTTAGCAGGGGAGTTCATAAGAAAGTCGAGGGGGGTGTTGTGAAGGCGATTCTAGAGATAGCTGAGATGGAAGCAGAGGGGGTGGAGGTGGCATGGGATGAGGGGTCTAAGGGTAAAGTGAGGCGAGGGGAGGAGGGGTGGGAGAGGGAAGGAGGAGGAGGAGGAGGAGGAGGAGGAGGAGGAGGAGGAGGAGGAGGAGGAGGAGGAGGAGGAGGAGGAGGAGGAGGAGGAGGCGGAGGAGAAGGAAGAGGAGGAGGAGGAGGAGGAGGAGGAGGAGGAGGAGGAGGAGGAGGAGGAGGAGGAGGAGGAGGAGGAGGAGGAGGATGATGATGATGATGAGGAGGAGGAGGAGGAGGAGGAGGAGGAGGAGGAGGAGGAGGAGGAGGAGGAGGAGGAGGAGGAGGAGGAGGAGGAGGAGGAGGAGGAGGAGGAGGAGGAGGAAGAGAAGGAGGGCGATGGGGACAGGATTGAGAGATTAGTGGAGAGGAGAAGTGACACAGAGAAGGATAGGAAGGAGATACGGAAGGGAGAGGAGGAGGGAAGAAGAGGGAAGAGAGGAAAGGAAAAGAGGGGCGGATGGGGAGGGGAGTGTGATGGAGGTGGCAGAGGAGGGATTGAGTGAGTGGGAGGAGCTGAGGGAAAGCATGGAGAGGCTGATGAGCAGCTACCCTATGATGGTGTGGGGGTACTGCTTGGTGGTGCACGTGGGTGGTGCTGGGCACAAGGTGAGAGGATGTGTGGCGTGGTGGGAGCATGGGAAGGCGTGCAGAGGCTGATGAGCAAGTACCCCATGATGGTGTGGGGGTAGATATTGCCCTGTGGTGCATGTGGGTGGTGATGGGCACAAGGTGAGAGGATGGGGGGTGGAAGCACGGGAAGATAGAGGGGGACATAGGGGAGCATTGCGAGGGACATGAGGGCAATGGGGGCCCATGGGGGGCACAGGGCATGGTGCAGGGTGCAAGGCGAGCGGCAACACGCCACCCTACATGCCTAATCTTGATCCGACCTGGTGTGCATTAGAGCTCATCTCACCCACCAGCATACTTGAATTATTGCTGCTTTGATGCGTTTCTTTCGGATGCTGTGTTGTGTAATTCAGGTGCACTATGTGTGCATTGGTGCATGGTTTCATGTCACCTCATGTGTTGTTTAAATGTTACATTGCATGCTCGCTCCAGACATGTGCTGTTCATGTGCTTGGTTACAAGTTCAGGTATTCTAATGCTTGTGGAGGTGCTGCGTCTTAGATTCTCCGTTGCATCTTCAAGTGCTGCGGCTTGATTCATCACAGCATCACAAGCAACGGCACCAGCAGCAGCAAGGCAGACAAGGAGGCAGCTCTACTCAGGCCCCACCTTAACTTTCGAGCTGACATATATCTACAGCTCACCACACCTGCCCCTTCTCTCCGCCCTCCGTGCTCCCAGCTGCGCTGCAAGGGTGGTAACCAGCAATGCGGGCCGACCTGTAGTGAGTCGAGTTTTGAGTCGACTCAAAACTCAAGCAGCAGTGGCGGCATGGGCAGCACGGGTGGTAACCAGCAATGCGGGCCGACCTGTAGTGAGTCGAGTTTTGAGTCGACTAAAAACTCAAGCAGCAGTGGCGGGATGGGCAGCACGGGTGGTAACCAGCAGTGCGGGCCGACCTGGCCCCCCCTCCCCAACCCGTGCGCGTCCATCACACACGCCACCCCTTCGACCCGCCTTTACTACACGATCTGTTGTGCACTTGGTTGCGCTCCCCCGTTTCAATCCCCCTTCAGCACCCACCTCCCCTCGAGCCGGGCCTCGACTCGAGCCACGAGTTGAAGAGTGGACAGAAACTCGCAAACACCCTTCGTCTCTCCGCCCTCCTTCTCCCAGGTGCGCCCGTGCAATGCCTCCAAGCATCAGTGGCGCTACGGCAGCCGGCACTGCTGGCCGGCCTTCTCCCCTCCGTGCATGTCTTCCAAACACACCACCCCTCTAGCCCCCGTCTGCTCCACTCGCCCCCCCCTTCCACACCTGACACTCCCCTTGCCACCCCATTTTGCACCCATCACCCCTTGAGCCTGTACTTATCCAACCGGTTGAAGAGTTGGCAAAAACTCACGACTCACCACACACCCCTCTTCTCTCTGCACTCCCCGCTCCCAGGTGCGCCTGTGCAATGCCTCCAAGCAGCAGTGGCGGCACGGGCAACACGGGTCGCAGTCGGCAGTCCTCACTGACTTGCTAACCCCGTGCCTGTCTTCCGCTTACGCCACCCTTTTTGGGTCGACTCAAAAGTCAACGCGCCACCCTTTTGAGTCGACTCAAAAGTCTTCTACTCACGCTACCCTACGGGCCCGCTCCTGCAGCACGAAATGAGGGCCTAATACGGCGAGTGTCGGCGCTGGTGGAGCTCTGTTTGCAGGCCAGTAAATCCTTGCTGACGAAATGACCGTCGTAGGTACTTAAAGATGGGCATTGCAATTCCTGACGTGGAAATTATGTTTTGTTTTACAAGTAGAAATGTTTATATGTAGATGTATAGAGCATTTGAACAGCGGAAGGTTTTGTTTCAAATAGGTCAAGAGGTACAGTGGGTCTGGTCGTTTTAAAGCTGTGGCCCAAAATCAGGTCGAGTTCAAAGTATTATAGCTTGGAAGTTCGTTGACCCAGGCAGTTCAGGGGCGAGAGGTTTGCCCTCTTGTGGTTTGCCATTTTTGTCCCCTTACTGTTCCTAAGAAGTTGCACCCCGCCTTTAACAAAATATGTCTCACAGGACCTTGCCTTGCCTGCTCACCTGAACGACACCTACACACCTGCGTTCCGCAACGTTACCCATCTCGTGATTCGTGAATCCTCCGCCGTGGCGAAGTGAGAGGCAGGGGGATAATTCACCTGGCCACAACAGACGGACCCCCAGCAAAATTTCAGGCGCGTCTTTCGTGTCGCGGCGAATACCTGGAAGCGCGTATCTTTGTGAATCCTCGCGGATTCTCAGTTTGGCCACAAACATCTTCCCGCCCATTTTGGTCGCCACGCCACTCTTTCCTCTGAGACAATTCCCCGCTTATAAATTCCATGAGTTGGCATGATCTCGTCAGCACGGTGCAGTGGCAATCTCCCTTATCGTTAGCACGAGTTGGCATCGTCGTCAGTGCAATCCTTGTTCCTCACCGCCCAATCATGGCCTGTCACGACAACTGTCAGGTTTCGTGGAGCCCTTCTTGCCTCGTCATCTGCGTGCTGCTCGCGCTGCTCCTCGGCTGATGAAGGACGAGTTGAAAAGGGCGAACGAAGCGCTCAAGGACCACAAGTACAACGTCAAATACTTCGCCACTACCGCGGCTTTCGACCACCTCATCCCGGAATTCGGTGCGTGCATCATGCCTTCGATATCATCCCCAAAATGTTGCTTACCCAAACCTGACCTTGACGCGAATCTAGCCCTAAGCTAACCCGAAAGTCACCCCAAAGAAACTTTGGGGTGAGAATTTTGTCAAAATATGTTGCCCATATTTCATATAATTGTCTGTAGTGTTAGTGTAGCTGCTCCATTTTGGTGGTGGTGCACCACCTTGTCTTGCTCATCCTATTTGTACTTGTCTTTGCATAGTGAACATCCTCCTTTACTTGAACTCCTCTCCCTTACCTAGCCTAAACCCTAGGCTAGTGGCTCTAGCCATACCTACTATTTTGACATGGTATCAAAGCGAGGTTTCTCCTTGGACCTGTCTCATAGGGCCCACCACTACGCTTCCGCTCATGGGCCTCTCTGCTGCCCATCTCGCGCCTGGGGCACGCGTCGGTTTTCTGCCCGCCGCGCGCCCCGGGCGCGCGTCGATTTTCTGCTCGTCGCGCGCCCAGGGCGTGCGGCGATTTTGTCCCCGTTGCACGCCCGTCGTGCGCTCCGGGCGTGCGATGGTTCTCTGCCCGTCGCGCGCCCCAGGTGCATGACGGTTTCTGCCCATCGCGCGCCCTGGACGCGCGACGGGTTCTTCCCGCCACCGCGCCCTGCTGTCGCCCGCACACCTCCTACCGCGCCTCCCCGCCCCCCCTTCCCCTTCATCTCCCTGCTGCACGTGTGGCAGTGGGGGGGAGGGTATGGGGGTGGCAGGTGTGAGTGATCTGCTGCCGCCCCTCCTCCTCTCTCTCCCACTGCTGCACTTGCTGGGGGGGGGGGGGGGGGGGAGGGTGTGGGGGAAACGAGGGAGTGGCGTGGGGAGCCGAGGGATGGCGTTAGAGATGCAGAATGGGATGTGGAAAGGGGGTGTGGGACAATGGGGGGAGGTTGGCAGGAGGTAGCCGTCGTGACGCCAGCAGCGCCAGTAGTTCGAAGTCAGCGTGCTCCGGTAGCGAGTGAGCCCGTTGCACCAGTCGCCCGTGGGTCAGTTGCTCCAGCCGCTTGGCGTAGCCGCGGAGCCAGTTACTCCCGTAGTCCGGTGCCGTCGTGCTCCGGTAGCCAGTGTGCCTGTTGCTCCAGTCGCCCGTGTGCCAGCAGCTTCAGCCGCCGCTTCCTACCTCCTCTCCTTGCATAGTCCCTCCTCTTCGCTTGCCCTCTTCTTCTGCTATACACTGCATGGTGTACCCCTTCAGGAGGCGTTGCTACACCTATCCCTGCAATCAATTATGGGGGCGTGTCAAAATATGTTGCCCATATTTCATATAATTGTCTGTAGTATTAGTGTAGCTGCTCCATTTTGGTGGTGGTGCATTACCTTGTCTTGCTCATCCTATTTGAACTTGTCTTTCCATAGTGAACATCCTCTTTTGCTTGAACTCCTCTCCCTTACCTAGCCTAAACCCTAGGCTAGTGGCTCTGGCCATACCTACTATTTTGACAAATTTTAGATCAGGTTTGTCAGAATCAGCAAGCAGGAATCATGTAAACTATCGAGAGAGTTGGTACAAGTACAAAACCTAAAGGGGTTGTACCCCATGTTGGCTACCCCACTATAGCCTACCCATTATACCATAGCATATATATAGTTTGACACACCTCCATAGGCAAAGTGGGGGAGAACAAGGGGTCACAAGACCAGTCAAGAAAAGCAATGCAAGCTCAGGGTGGATCACAACGTCACCACACACTCCGAGCACAAGCAAAAAGGGCCACAAGGCCAGTTCACATGCAGAGGTATATATGCAACAACAACAGTACAGTGATCACTACCTAGCAAGAGAAAACATGCAGGTAGATATATATAGATCACAGTACAACCAAAGTCTACAGTAAGTGAGGAAACGTAGGCACCAGGCCTAGAACAGTGTAGAAGCGCTGATGATCACCAGCCGGAAGGGCCTTGGTGAACACATCAGCCCTGTTCGCTTGGGTGGGCACGTGGGCGATACGAAGCTGACCACGCTGCTCCAACTCTCGAGCAAGGAAGTAATGCAGAGAGATGTGCTTCATTCTGTGCTCTAGTCTGTGGTCCTGACACAAGGCAATGGCAGCCTTGTTGTTGACATACAGCGCTGGAGAAGAACGAGGCCTCTCTCCCAAGTCGGTCAGCAGGTAGGTGAGCGAGCGTAACGCCTGTGCAGCCATGGCTGTGGCGTAGATCTCAGCCTCACAACTAGAGCTGAGAACAGAAGACGAGCGTGTAGACCGCCAAGAAACAGAGCCAGAGCCAAGGCTGAACGTGTAACCCTG